CACTGGGTGTGGGCTAGGTTTGGAGATACAAGGTAAATCTGACATTTTCCCACACTCCAGAAGCTTTCACGGGAGAGGGGACAAAACCCTCCTTCCCTTCATCTGCTGGCTTTCCTTTTGATGATGTTCCAGGGGGGCGTGCTAGTGGGTAACCGGCTACAGGCAGGTGCCTCATTCTGCTCAAGCAATTTTGAGGTGCCCTGAGATACACATCCAGGTAATTATTTCAGCCCAGGGTCACCATGAAAAGATCTATGTCCAGATAAAAGGAAGAGATGACTTTTCACTTCTTGGAATAAATCTGAGATAATCCGCTATACAGTGATGGTCACTGTCTACCCCATCCTCTGCAATCCAGCTTTGCTCAGGTGGGGAGACTCTAGGTGACTAGTTCCTAAACTTAAAAAAAAATCCCTCTCAATAAATAGACATCTTTCTTGTATACTGTGTTTCATATATTCACTATAGCTGGTGGCCCTTTAAAAAGGAAAGGGAAAACACTAATCACACAAAAAGATATTGTTATATATTCTTACCTCATTGTGAATCCTATGTAAGTGCCTTCTCTTTATCTTTGTTTCTTCCATCATTAGCAACTCTATTTGACAGTTATCTCTAAGTGCAGAAAATACTTTTTGGAAAAATAAATCAATGGAATTTCATATTCAGAATTGCTGACATAAACTGTTTTATTTGAGACTTTTATCTTGGGAAATAGTTTTAGGGACTTCAATATCTGGCTTAAACGCTGGAATTAATTACTCTTGACTCTCAATTTTGCCTCCCATTTGAGGTCAAGGAATGTACTGACACCTCCAGTTAATGCTTATACCTCTCTGTGGCCAAGAGCTTTAATTTTCTCTATTGCTTTCATTTTTCTTTGCAGCTGTACTGCATTACTAAATGGATTGATTAATGCTTCATCTCTTCTCCTTGTTCTTACTTTACCTCTTGTAAATATACTAAAAACAGTGTAAGGTTCACAACATCAGATGGCTGATAGGACTTACAAGAGAAACAAAGGGCCTGATAACTCACATAAATGGAAAATCGACCCTGGAATAATTGACAGCATATTCAAATATCTTAGTGCAGTGTTACTCTCATTAAGCAGAAGTGGTATCAGTAAATCTATACAACTCTACATATTCTAATGAAAAGGGAAAATGTTTTCTTTTTACATGCTGGAGGAGCTGTAGCAGAAAAGGGAATATTTTGTCAAACGTTTCATATTTCCAAATATCTGGATATTGGCCATTATGAAGAAAAAATACAAATGATGGACTACCTCTTATATGCCTACTCCGAAGTCTTGTAGCTCCAGCCATTGACTCTAAGGCAATTTACATTTGTTTTCTCTGTCCTTCTTGAGAGGAAACAAAAATCTAATTTTTTTAAGCAATTAAAATTCTTTTGCTTCAGCTAGGATGAAAGAATTAGGAGTTCTGTCTCCTTGTACATAATTGTATATTTCATCTTCCTTAATGATTGACAGAAAACAGATAAACTGAGACATCTCTGAACTGGGGTTGAATGTACTCTCTTGGTGGTCCCGTTGCTAATCTGTTTGACTATTTTGCAGGATTTCTTTACTCTGTAATGGAAAGGTTTATTAAATATGAGGGGTGCAAAGCTTTCTGAATACAAATGAACTTATTTGCCAAAATTTAAATGCTCCTTCTTGTCAGTGAGTGCCTGTCTCACTTAACAGGATCCAAATTGAATAATAAAGAAAATTAGACTATATTGTACCTCAAGAGAAATCGTGCATGAATTATAACATAATAGTGAGGGGGAAAGGGGTCATATTTTTGAAAAAAGAGTAGATGATTTAGATCATATAAAAATGATTAACTCAGAGAAAATGAATTCTTTTCAAAGAAATATACTAATTCAATGAGCAGGATTTCCCATGCACAAGCAATCTACACCTTTGGCTAGCTTAGAATTTTTTTTGGCTGTGCCACATAGCTTGTGGGATCTTAGTTCCCTGACCAGGGATTGGACCTGGGCCCTCGGCAGTAAAAGCACCACGTTCTAAACACTGGACCGCCAGGAAACTCCCAGGCTAGCTTAGAATGAAACTCATAATCATATGGAAATGCATGGTAGGTTTCAGTGGTTACAATTTACTACCTTATTCCATCATATACCTGTGATGGAGCTGGAAATCCAATAAACATCCATTGAAAAATGAACACAGATCTCCAGAGAAGTACAATAGGGAGACAGAATTTGAGAAATTGCCCCAATTCGTTCTTTAATCATGGGGTAATGAGGCTGTCCCTTGGTCAGTGTGTTTATTCCCATTGCCTTGATGTTATCACTAATAAAGCTGATGATCACAATGCCTTTCCCCTGCCAGCATTCGAGGGGCACTGTGGGAAGAAGAGGGCAGCCCTCTTGACCAGGGAGACAGGCTGGGAGAACTTCAGCAGCCACACAAACTGTTGACCATGCTCACGGATGGAAACAGAGTGCATGTGTCGAGTAAAATAAACCAGTAGAGGGGAAGTGAGGAAGAACATAAAGGTGGGACTGTGCAAAGACAGGAATTGGTCCCTGTCATACACTTGAAATAGGAAGGTACCTGTTGGAAAAGGATGAAGTGAGGAAGGATCCTAAAGTAGAGAAAATAAAGGGAAGAATGAATGTCTCCAGAGTTTGCTGAAATTAATTATCCTGAGATTTCAGGAGGAGGAAAGGAAGATCAAGAGAAACGGAAGAAGGCTCTGAAGCCTGTGAAGTTTCAAAAACAAAAGAAAGCGCAAACAAAAAAGTTTATAAAGTAAAGTCATGCTTTTCTTGGAGAAGAGACTGGGCATTAACAGAAAGTTTGATGACAGCAGGATTTGTATTTAGGGGTTTACTTTCAATCTAAGAGAAGTTTTATATGACACAGATGCAAAAGACATTAATGTCTTTTGGCCATGATACTGGGCTTCAATTGCAAAGGGGAAAAAGAATGGTCAGCGCATCTCAGATAAACACCAACTGTGCAATATTTCATTTGAGATTTGTATTATCTCCAATTAAGTAAAAAAAAGAGACCTAGTGAATTTGATTGCCTCTGTAGGAAGGCTTGAGGATTAGAAACCTAGATTTCCCACATGGGATGATAATTTGATAGTAAAAATTAAGAAATAGAGAGTCTGGGGACATTAAGATTCATCTCCACCATTTCAAATCATGATCCACACCTTCAGAAAAAAAGAGCTTGGGACTTGGAAAGGAGAAAGGAGAAGGGAAAGAGATGACTGATGGGTGGGTGAGCAAGAAGGGGGAAATGAATGCTGCAAACCAAATAACTACACAAATTGTGAGAAAATTAAATGAACAACAGAGTTTGAAAGATAAGTGGTTAACGAGGAATATGAGATAATAAGACATTTAAAAATAGGAAATTACTATGGAAAGTGAGGATGAATGATGAATTACATGGGAGATGATTAAGGTACACAGGAAGGCAAGGAAGGGAGGAGGTAACTGGGATGGAAAACAAAACGTGACTAATAGGTGGAAAGGGCAGGCTTGAACTCTCGGCAGCATGTCCCCCAACCTCTGGAGAATGTGCACAACCTAGAAATAAAGGAGGAACAGATGAAAAGAGTTCACGGTTAACGTGAAATCATGAGGACAACAGAGGAAGCAGTAAGTGTCATTTGTCCTTAGGAATGAAAGCATTTCTAGAGAAATGTATTAGTCTGGGTTGTCCATTCATCTACGAGTAGAATTGTCTTCATCTACTTCTTACAAAATGTTAAATTACAAAATGAGTGCTATTAAAGAAATGCTAAGCACTGTCAGGGGAAGTTGAAGAAAAGATTGCATCTAGAACAACTGAAGTGGGGACAAAGTGAGCAAATCTGTTCACAGTCTTTTATATAAAATTTTGAAATTCAGCCTTTTAAGGAAAAAAACTGGAGAGAATTTATCAAATAGAAATGTGGGCAGTGATGGGGGAGGGGAGATTTTTTACTGTTGTAAATATTTTAGAATATATTCTTCTACAATATTTTTTTTTTCTCGTCAAATGAGTGAGATTAAGCTAAAAAGCTCCTGGGTATTGCTTTAAACACACTGGATGAGAGGGTTTACAGCAATGTAAAGTATTCCTAGTAGTAGAAATAGCATAAATTTTTTAAGAAGATTAATATCTGGAGCAGGTCTAAATGCTTGTGATCATCCTTTCACTTTCTCGTGTTTGTGCAGGGGATTCCTTTCAGCCAGACAGTACCAGACCCCCTTCAGAGGGAAGCTGATAAAGTAATTTAGGTGGAAAGGCCTAATGAGATAATGATGTTAAGGCCAGTTAACACCTAATAAGAACATAACCACCAGGGATGATATTGTTGCTTATTAATTATAATGATGATGTGGAGGAAAGAGACAAGGTGGCACTCATTTAGCAGAGAGCACTCAGGAGTAAAGCTGTTTTCTCAAAGGGCAAGTTTCAGGCAGTTAGAGTTAGAAGTAGGGCAACATGTAGCCGAGTTTGAAATTTATGGCCGTTGGGTTATACTGGCGACCACAGAACTGGAGGCCAAGCAGGAGGTAACAGATGCCTTCCTGATGGTGACCAAGACTGGAATGGAGACTGCTGTGGTTGCAGGGCCGGGCCATGCTCAGAGTCAGAGACTCCGGGCTGAGTTTTGGGGGCTGTCCTCTTGCCTCAGATTCCACAGTGGTCATTCGTGGGCAGACAGGCAGGTGTCCAGAACTGGACTGGGTGTGTTTCCAGTTCTGTGACCTTCCCCTCCACTCCACTTGGTCCTGGGAATCAGACGCATAGCATAACTCTTCAATTGGTGATGGTGCCCTTCCCTGTTGAGGGAGCCCAGAAGATCCTTTGGGCCTGTTTTTAGAGTCACAGACTTGATCTGTTGCCTTCATCTGCTGACCTGAATGTAAGGCTTCTTGGTGTTAGTCATTGCCCCTGCTCTGCTTCCTGAATTCCCCGTGGGTGTGGTTCATCCAGGGCAGGGGAATTGTATAAGTTCATTGCAGATACACTGGTGTCTGTATTAGTCACAGAACAGGAGTCGAGGATATGAGGAAGAAGCAGCCATGCGAAAAAACTTGAAGCTTTTGGAAATCTTGAGAGTCCTCAAGGGAGGCACAGCAGCTTGAAGTCCAGGAACAATCTGGGTAAGCAGATTTGGGGCCGTTAGGGATACTGGAAACTCTTCTCCTGATACACTGTCTTTCGCCTCACTATGTGGGTCTCTATCTGGGTCCTAGAGACTAGGCTGTCACTCACTCGTCTCTGGGTCTTTGGATGCCACCTCTGCAATAATAGGACGTAGTTTTCCACACCTTCCTGTGCTATTAATTTTATTAGCTGGATGAGGGCCATCTCACAGGATTTTTCTTGTTCTATGTGATGACGTCACTGACCCTGCCATAGAAAGGAAATAAATTCCTCATCGTTAACTTCTTAAAGCAAGTATTTTTATATTTATTAAATGTGTGGTTTGAGAGGCAGGAAGTGAAGAGTGCTGGACAGGAAGACAGAAGATGTGGCTCTATTCCTGACCCTTAGACATATCCCTGTAACCTTGGATAAATCTCTTGCTTTTCTGAGCCTCAGTTTTGCCATCCATAAGGTGAGAGTTTGGTGAGGGTAATCTTTATGGTTTTAAAGTTATTTCCAGCCTTAAAATTCTACATTTAAGTGTATATGTGTGTAAGGATCCTACCTCTATTACACCTTTATGAGAGAATGACAAATACCGCCTTAAATCCATGGTTCAGAGTGGACAATTAAGGTTGGAGTTACTGATGAAACAGTGGCATAACTATTTATTGAGCACTAACTACTGACCTGGCAGCCACAACCTTAAAGGCAGGTGTTTTACAGGTGAGGAAATGAAGGCTTCAAAAGGTGGAAAAGATTGTTTAAAATCCTATAGTTAATGAAGGAGTGGGGCCAACATTCAACTCTGCTCTTCCTGAAACAGAAGTCCTTGACCTTAATCAACGTGTGCCCATCTTCCACTCTTTAGAACCCAATACTTATGTCCCATACCTGCTGGAACTAGTCACTGAAGTTTTCTTCAGTTACAGTGGTTTTCAACAGGTGATGAAAGGAAGGAGCAACACAGGGAGTGACTTGACAAATCTCCCTAGTTGATTCTGATACACACATCTTGCTGCCTCTAAACCCACTCTGAGACATCACCCGGTCAGTCACACTAACATGATGACAGAAACAGTACCTTACTGGAAAACTTTCTGCCATGTGCCGGTTCTCACTTCTGCTTCTCTCAGCATGGCTTGGGGGGTAGGTAGAGGCACCAGACACAATTATTTCTCTTGTCTTCCAAATGGGAAATTGAAGCAAAGAGAATAGAACCATGCAACTTCACACACCCAGTGGTCAAAGAATGACATGAGGACTCATACCTTAAGACTCCAGCCATCACAGGACATTGTCTTTCTAGACAATTCAATTAATAGTGTATTTTATATACAGGGAAAAACATCACTTTTTTCCCCTTGGAGTTTCCTAGTAGATGTGTCATTTCAGTGACATTAATTTATTCAGAATATCTGTAAACCCAGCCTCTATGAATAGTGTCAACTGTAATAGCCATTAACAAATACCAAATGGAGGAGAATGATTTCTTAACCAGGCATTTTTATGAACAAAAAATGACTTTCTAGACCTTCACTGATTGGTCCCAGAAAAATGCTTTATCAGGGTTGTTAAGAGGGTTCAGGCATTCAAAACAGAGAGATGCTCTTCATTGTTCATATCTTCTTTGAAAGTAATAAAAAGATTAATTCCTTTTTGAAAATAAAAATATTAGCACCTAGAATTTCAAATTACTTTTCAAGAATTAATTTTAATGCCACATAGACAAAGCCTCAGACTTAGTTTTTTTTTTTTTTCCAGACTTAGTTTTAATCTACAGTTCTTTATAGTTTAAAATGCCTTCTTTTGGTCTTTCTGTATTTTGGTTTCTTCTCTTTTCCTTTGCTGAATAAATTCTAAATTTTTGCTCAGTATGGTTGAATTCACTTCATTGTGAAAAGTTAGAAATATCCAGCTATAGGATTTGATTAAGTAAAGATAGAATACAATATTGCCATTTAGAAGAATGAGGCAGCTCTATATGGAATGATGTCTAAGATATATAGTTAAAATTTAAAAAGCAAGATATACAACAACATGTATGGTAATCTGCCATTTATATAAATACAACATATCTGTGTTTATTCACATTGCCTAGCTGTGAAAGAACATTTAAGGATCTGGTAATAGTGGTTGCCTCTGGGGAGAAACTGACTGCTGGGAAATTAGAGGGGATTCTCTGTATACCCTGTTGTCCCTTTGATATAGTGTATCATGTTCATGTATTATCTATTCATTCTTCTTTATAAAGACAGAGGTAGAGCCTTTTTTATTGAGATGGAAAAATACAAAAGACATGTTCGGTATAAAAAGCAAGTTGAAGAATAGTATGAATAGTATATGATTCTATTTTTATAAATTAATTATACATACATATATGTATGTTATAAATACACCCATACACATCTCTAAGGATATGCACCAAATTAACAGTGGTTCCCCCTAGAGAGTAGAATATGAGAAAGAATGTGTGTGTGTGTGTGTGTGTGTGTGTGTGTATGTGTGTGTGTGCTTTCATTTCCTTGTCCTGTGTACTTCTATATTGTCTGCTTTTTTTTTTACACAAACTACATACTAATTCACAATAAATAACTTATAAACCCAACCAAAGGATTGCACTTGACTTCTACACACCTATAATCAAAATTTCCCAGAACAGCCCTTCCAGTCAGCCATTTTTTGTTTTTTATATCCCACAGATTCACTTCAGATCTCTTCCTTGACTTCTTCCCTGAAGTTTTCTGAACTTTCTGTTCCTTTATCTTTGCTCTCCTACATTCCCCTCTATGAGTAGGGCCCAGATAAGGTCATGACCAAGAAATGATAGTAACACTAGTGACAGTTCCTCTCTCAACTTTCCCTTTAAATCAATCCAGAATGATGCAGCTAAAATCCCCCTCATTCTTACTTTACAGACTTCAACCTTGGGTTAAATCTAACTATCTATTTCAAGAAAATTTCTTTGCTTTCTGGATCAATCCTATCAGCACATAAATATGCTATTGCTCCAATCTCAAACAAAAGCAAAACTCTTGGCTTTGTTTTATTTTGTTTGCTTAATTTTAGTGGTGAAACCTCCACTCAACTCTCTCAACTCCACAGCTTCTCCAAATACTGTTCCATTTCTCTGTGCTCCTTTACAGTTATTTTCCTTGAAAGAGCTGTCTTTCCTTTTGTAAAGACACTTCCTCCCCTACCATTCATTCTTTTTTTTTTTCCCCATACATTCTTAAAACCACTCCTCTCAGGCTTTCTGCCCTACCACTCTCCCTCAACTGTCTTGTCAAGGCCACTTAGGGCATTTACTTGCCAAATCCAATGATCAATTTTTAATCCTCATTTTCTCTCTCAACTCATTTACAGTTGATCACTTTCTCCTTCTTGAAACGCTTTCTTCTCTTGGCCTTCTGGACACCTTTCTTGGATCTCCTTCTCCCTCACAGTCTGCTGCTTTTTCGTTTCTCCTTTATCCTCTTCATCTTGAAATATCAGGACTGCTCAAGGCTCAGTTCTTGAGTCAACCTGCCTTCTCTATTTAAACTCATTTTCTTGGCGATCTCATCTAGCCTCTTGACTTTGAATACCATTTCCATGCTGATGTCTTTCAACTTTTATGACCAAACCCCAACCTGGCCCTAAACTACAGACCCCTTGTCTTCAAGGCCTATAATGCTTCCAGTACTCACACTACATCCCTGAACTCATCCTCTATCACCCCCTTCCCTGTTCTCAGGCCATATTGACCTTCTTGCAGCTTTTTGAACATGCCAGGAATACTCCCACCTCAGGACCTTCACACTTGCTGTAGCATCTGTCTGCAGTGCTCTTTTCTCAGATACCCACATGGCTCAGTTCCCTCCCTTTATTCTGCCCAAATGTCACCTTATCAGAGAGCCTTCCTTGAACACTTTTAGAATAGCACTTGCCTATCTTGCTGTGCCCCTTTACCCCTTTATTTTTATTCTGAGCAGTTACTATAATCTGAAGCATTATGTATCTATTAGACTATTATTTGCTCATTATATATCTGCACTGGAATGTAAGCTCCATGAGAACAGGAACTTTATTTTGTTCACCACAGTATTCTCAACATCAAGAAAAATGATTGTTATAGAGAAAATTGCTCAAAAAAGATTTCCTGAATATTGTTGAATAAGGAATGTTGAGGGATTCACTATAGTTTCCTTTAGCATATTCAAATTACATGAAATTTGTCTTAAGGCAGTTTATTTCTCCATCTCAACTTTCTCACGTTTTCTTTTAAAAAATCTGTTTAAACTTTTTATTTTGAAATAATTATAGACTCACAAGTATTTGTATAGTCCAGGGAAGTGCCGTGTACCCTTCACCCAGCTTCTCCCCAGAGTTACATGAGATATAACAATCCTTTTAAAAAAAATTATTATTAGTTCCTTGGTGTCCTTTCCTAACGTTTCACCTGTTCTCTTCTATGAGCTTTTCTTTACAGGCTTCCAGAACTCTTCATCTCTTATTTCTTGCCAAGCCATTGATGAGCTTTCTTCAACACCAACATCAAATCCCTTCTCCAAGATAACTGTCCTAAGCATGGGAGGGATAGAATACTTCAATTAAGTGTGAAAACCGGGTTTTATTTTTAATACTAACAAATAATCCAAAATAAGAGAAAAACTGTTTCATCTCTTAAGCTTGCAGGATCTATAGAGAGATGCTGTCTCCTCTGTAAGTTCTGAATAGCAACCTGCTTTGCTGTGATCTTTAAGGACATGCAAAATGATAATTTGTTGACTCCAGTGTGTACTTTTATCTTGTTTATGCAACTATTTAGAAAGAGTTGAATAAAAGCAAATATATGATTTTCTATATATGTATTCATATTTCTTTTAAAAAATTATTCTGCTGAGTACATGTCATTCACTTATTCAACAAATATTTATTGTGTACCTACTATGTGCCAAGACTCCATGCTAACAACGGTCTTTTATCCCCCAAGATGATATGGAATAAACATTACCTTTAAGACGCGACACGTCCAAAAAGATAGATTGAAAACTCCTGCTTTCCAGGTAAGTAGGTTACTCCCCAGTGGAATGGGCATTCATGTTCAGGAGACAAGGGCATTATTATGCTCTACTAATTGGTTTTCAGGGTTAAAAAAAATCAATGTTCCTTTCAATGTGTCTGAAATATATAAAATAACCTACCATTTAACAAGATAAGACTCACTGATTTAATGATCGGTACAAAGAGGATATGACTGGGATATCACCAACCTCTATAGTTAAAATGAGCATGTATTAAACTCCTTTAAAAAATTCCTTTCCATATTAAATATTAATTAGAAACCTGCCCCATGTCAGTGTTCTTCTCTTATAATTAATCTTTCTCCTTTCTAGTATTAGTAGGGTGATCATTTGTCCCGTTTGCCTGAAATGTTCTAATTCACACCTGTTGTTCCAGCGTAATTGTCAATTGCACCCCCTTTCGCTCTCTAAAAAAAAATCTTGGTTTGGATGATAAATTATACAGTCAAACTAAGTATTAGGGTCTCTGGGATGAATGATCAAGGCGCCATTCCTATTTATTGGTATTACCTTGTCACAAGCTGTAAAAACAGTTTTCCTTTTGATTGTTTCTTCCTGAGTTGTCACAAAGACCTTCACATAAAACCACTCTGTCCCATTAAAGCAATTATTGAAACCCCCTTCAGTAATGACCACTTGTTTTAGTTTTCCTCCTCAGATTCCAAAGATGAAATGTAGACATTGCTTTTGCTGGGTCAGCATCATAATTGTTCAGAGGCACAGCCTCGTACAGGGAAAATTTTGCCTATCTAATCCACAAGAACCTTAAAGAGACATTTTTCCTTGGTGACATTATCTGGTATAAATAGTCTGTGATTCACTACTAATTTTAGCCCAAAGAAAGGAAAACCCAACATACTTAATTTCAATGGAAAATATGTATTTCTGGACCAAGATACCTAATGTCTCTAGACTACAACCAGAGAATGAATAATGGAAAGGTGAATTTGGGTGGCCTCCTTAGATATAATCTCCGTTAAAACTATTTAATCTCTGTGGTTCACAAGGAAAGCTTTTCTTGAGTTGATGAATGGAATGACATTTCTGAGATTAAATGTTTCTCTAACTATATTCTTGGCTGATTCTAGTAGCTGTACCACCACTGATTCATTATTTAATTTTGGAAAATTGATCACTTTTTTTTCTTCTGAGGTTGTGTCCTCCTAGCACCAAAGCACTCAATCAATTCAATGTGTTTTTTTTAAAAAAACACATTTTAAAAACATGGGGGGACTTCCCCGGTGTGCAGTGGTTAAGAATCCACCTGCCAATGCAGGGGACATGGGTTCGAGCTCTGGTCTGGGAAGATCCCACAGGCCGCGGAGCAACTAAGCCCGTGCGCCACAACTATTGAAGCCCGCGCACCTAGAGTCCGTGATCTTCAACAAGAAAAGCCACCGAAATGAGAAGCTGGCACACCGCAAAGAAGAGTTGTCCCCACTCGCCCCAACTAGCAAAGCCCGCACGCAGCAACGAAGACCCAAAGCAGCCATAAATAAATAAATAAACAAACAAATAAAATAAAATAAAAACATGGGATCATGAAGACAAAACAACTAATGAGGGAACTAAATTGTTTTTCACCTGATTGTTTGCCTGTTTCTTAACCCATCTGTAAACTGTGGATAATTCTGTTGGTTTTTGTCTTCCTGATGCAGTTGCTATGAGAGTAAATTACATACTTAGGAAAACATTAGGGACATTTGGGATAACAGAGGCTGAATGACTTTATCATTCTTGTTTGTAGTTTGCCTGAAAAATTCAACTGAATGAGATGAAGTGGCTAAAGTGTGTTTTTCACTTTTCTTTTTTTCTTCTCTACTTAAAATGAAAGTACATCTTTAAAAAATATTATTACTGATACAGCTTTATCGGAAGACACTGATGGGTCCTGAAATGACAATGACACTCCCCTGTTGTTGTTGTTGTCGTTGTTTTTAAATCCATGCTTTTATCAAAATTAAGAAGGTATCAGGGCTTCCCTGGTGGTGCAGTGGTTGAGTCCACCTGCCGATGCAGGGGACTCGGGTTCGTGCCCCGGTCCAGGAAGATCCCACATGCCGCGGAGCGCCTGGGCCCGTGAGCCATGGCCGCTGAGCCTGCGCGTCGGGAGCCTCTGCTCCGCAATGGGAGAGGCCACAACGGTGAGAGGCCCGCGTACCGCAAAAAAAAAAAAAAGGTATCAGGAAAACCGGGCTCCTAAATTCCTTCTTAACCCAAGGGACTGGGTTGAATAGCTAAAGAAATATTTTCCTGATAATTATCTCTTTCCTTTTTTCAGACATGAACTCTATCTCCTTCACCCTACCTCATCTGTACCTCTAGAAAACGCATAACGAAACCTGGAGCGCCCCCTTTCTTATGAGTCAAGACAGCTCCTTTCCCACGAGTTCCAGGGCCTGTTTGTGAAACATGGCCTGGGCAATTTCCCCAAGAGTCCCACAGTCCTGAGTGGACAGGCAAGTCCCATGATTCGGAAGTAGTGGCATCGAGTGGTTGGAGGTGTGGTGACAGTCCAGGCTTCTGGTCTTCCAGGAAACCAATTTCATTGGTATAATCTTAACAGGTCATATTATATATTATATACCAAAACCATGTGCAGTTCTCTTAAAGGATAAAAACCTGCAAAAAGAAGGTAAAGAATTGATAAGATAGTAAAAGATATATATATTTTTTTCTGATTAAAAACAATGACCTATTCCTGACTATGGGATAGGAACTACCAGAAAGTACTGTATCTTCTTTTGACAAGGTTATGCTGAGTAGCCTGTGTACATCTCTACATTTCTCAAGAGGTTTACTTATGGTGTCTCAGGCAACAATATAACAAGGATTTATTGATGTTCCAAAGTGAGGGCTTGGGTGTCAGAACTGGGAAATCTGAGATATAAAATCATTTGGTTGAAGAGCTCTAGCTTCCTTGAACATTCTTGTTCCTCCAAAAAACCTTGGAGGCTGCCATAGTAACTGTAAGTTTCCCAAATGAGAAACTGGGGCAGAGAAACAGAGTGGGGGTGGGGTATTTGTTTATGGTGGAGGGGTGACATTTTTTCACAATATATTTTGCTGGAAGGTCTACACTCTAGCAGCAGGACCAGCCTTAGGAAATGCTGGTAAGTGGTTCTTTGGCAACATTTACTTATTTTGGAATGGCTCTTCCTCTTTCCTACTTCCCCTGCCTAGAGGTGTAATTCTGTAATCTGTTTACACAAGGTCCCCTCACTGTGGCCCTCACCTGAGCTGATATGCTCTGGACCTTTTCCACTTCTCATGTTGACCAAATTTTCTATCAAATTCTACCTGCATTGTGCCCCATTCCCACTGGATATTTACTTCCACTTTCAAGAGAGCAGGGCATTATCTGGTAATCTAATTAGAATGAGAGTAGAAAGGGTAAAAACAGTTTAATACACCGCCCCTCTTACTATGGATGATTAGCATTAACTCAAAGATGTGAATTTTTAGTGGTGAAGTTTCAGAAGCTATGTTGCAAATTGATGGGAGTAATATTTTAGGGACATAGACACATTTTTTAGCACACCCTTAAAATCATGCACAAAGACAAATACCTAGTCTGAGTAAGGAAGGCCCGGCCCTGGAGCCTGGCATAGTCAGAGTACCTGTTTTGCATAGTCCGGTCTCATCACTGGTGAGGGAGGAAGTGCTGGCAGGGAGCAAGACAGCAGGAGAACATGCCTAACTCCTCTGTCAACAGGTAGACCAAGGACTGTACATACCTTTCTCCCAGGGGCGGGGGGTTGGCACTGAGAGAGGGTGCTCAGCACCCCTCCCACATGCACATGCACCCTCATCCAGGCATTCCCGGCCTCACCCCGTGGTTTGCCTACAGGCTGATTCCTAAAAGATCAGAAAGACAAATGATTCAGAAGTGCCTGCAGCTGATTCCTACTTAGAATATGTAATCTCACAATCCGTGCCTGTTTTCTTTTAAGTGCTTATATGCCTCTGATCAAATCTTCACTCTGCTCTCTAACTGTCCCTTTGAAAGCAGCAGCAATGCTTTATTTCTGATTACATGATGACTTAAGCCAAATAACTTTAAAAATGCCCATGGCAGTTTTGATTTGACACTGTTTATGTTTCATTTTTGCTATCCTAATCTAAGATTTTCTGAATATCTTCGTAGCCTAGCCGGGACACATTTGCTGAGTTACTGAGTGGGCAGGGCTCTGATTTAAGCTCTTAGGAAAATTTCCCATGTGACTTACAGTGATTTTCAGTGAGAATCAAGGGCACCATTGTTGGTTCCTAATAATTATGTGGTTTCTGTATGTAAACGCATGTCTTTCACATACATAAATGCACACAGGGCATAGGATTTCCAGTGCTGGCTCAAGTGCATGTGCCTGAATATACTTTTCCTCTCTCACTCAAAAACAAAAACACCCCAGTCAGGAGTTACATTTGTTGGTTTGAACAGTTTGTTGGTTTGTCACTCCCTTTCTTGGGCTTCTACCTGTTGGGGCTTGTGCTGGGGCTCCCAACACTTTAGTTTCCACATCTGTTGGATTGCCTTCACTCACCTTGAGAGATCACTGTGAAGCAATATAGCTCATAAATGTCATCACAAACTGCTCTGCAAAAATATGTCTCAACATCTGTGATGCCAGATTCAAAAGAGCTCGATTGTGTGTGTCTGGTCAAGTGCATGTGCCTGTGCATACACACAAACAACATGAATCTCTGGTCTTCATTTACTAATTGTTCTCTCATTTGAGGTAACTTCTCCACTGCTTCTATAGCTATTAGATAATAACAAATACAAAAAAAAATTCTTAAGGAAAACAACCTAAAGCCATAATTTATCACTTTTAAGAAAGAATGGCATTGCAACTAGACACATAACTAAACAGGGATTTTTCTGGGAAACTGATGAGGTAAATACATTACAGAACTACAATAAACATCATCTGCTTTATCAGCAAAAGAGTAAATAGGTAGTTATGGGACTTCCCTTGTGGTCTAGTGGTAAAGGATCCGCCTTCCAATGCAGGGGACGCGGGTTTGATCCCTGGTCGGGGAACTAAGATCTCACATGCTGCGGGGCAACTAAGCCTGTTCACCACAAGTACTGAGCCCATGCGCCTCAGTGAGAGAGCCTGCGTGCTGCAAACTACAGAGCCCGTGTGTCCTGGAGCCCGCGCACCGCAACAAAGATCCCGCGTGCCAAAACTAAGACCCGATGCAGCCAAAAATAATAAATAAATAAAATTTAAAAATATATATATAATAAAAAAGAAAAAAAAGAGTAAATAGGTAGTTTTATTATTCCTTTAAATGGTGATAAAACATGAAGAAATGCCATTCAGAAAGTTTTGGGTTTTTTTTCACATGCAATGCATACCTGTGTGTGTAAGCCCACACCATTCCTTTCATTAAAACCACAATATTAACACTGTCTAGAGATTACTACAGTGGTGCACAAGGCTGCAGTGATGCTGCATTCACAGAGTCCTCAATAAACCTGAGCAGTAGGAAGTATATATGAAAAATAAACAAAAAATTGAAAGAACTGTAAATTAGGTTCAAGGCTATTCCCTGTAGAGAGGAAGCTATTGGTTATCATGATTGCACTACATTTAAAAAATTCCCACCATATCATGTAAGTCTTTAAATAATAATGGCAGATAATTTTTGAGTACTGACTATTTCAAGCACCATGCTTAGCACTTTACTTGCTTTCTCATCTGAGACTTATAATTTTTCTGTAGATGAAACTATTAACATGCCCATCTTATAGATGTGTTTTAGAAACATGTACGTGTAAATGCCAACACCTAGAACACGTGAATCTGAAATTCTCCCAAACAGATCTACATGACTTGGGAGTGGTGTTAGGCTATATAGAGAGGGTAATATTTTTTCTTAAAGTCACTATTGATGGGCTCCATAGCATCATGATGTTTCTATGCATGTGCACATGTGCAAAACACATTTTAGGTTTTGTCACCAGTTTTCCCCCTTTGTCTATTACCTTCATATTTATGATGGACAAATCTCACTTTGAAGTCTCTTGCCTTGGAATCTCTTTTCCAGTAAAATTTCATGGTAGTTCACATTTCCCAGGAAGTCACCTTTAGAACTTTCAAAGGGATATTAACTTTTTAAAACACAAACATACAAAAAGTCTTACACTCACCATGAGAGAAAGGTTATGTCTCCCAGTGCATCTTCCCAGTTACTGCATACACCCTGAAGGCTAATATCATTTAAGCCAGGACCCCACCCTGTTCCTTTTCTGTCTTTCTTGTGGCTTGGGGCCTTTACAGCTTTCACATCTCTTTGCCTGGTTTTGAGATCAGGCTCTCTGACACTGTACCTCTATGTTGCTTGGAGAGGCAACTTAAAATATACAATCTCCAGACGGGAATGATTTAGCAAAATTAAAAACAGGCAGGGGGCAGAAAAGGCGGGAGGTGTCAAATGTTCCTTCCACCCCACTATCAGTTTGATGTGGTGGCCTTGTTCCTACCTAGTCCCCCTTCATGCTGACCACTACCCAAAGTTAAAATGCCTGAAAGGTTAACAGAATACACATGGATAGAGATATGGATACCCTTTCTTCTGCCTTGTAAAGCAACACATGGAGTTTTAATTGTGGCTTATTTCAACTTAATTTTGCTTCACCCTTAGGATGAAAGAGACTTGTTTCAATAAGTCTCAAGAGGTATTGTAAAACGTATAAGTACTTCAAGAATCTGCTAAGCCACCTCAAAAGAATACTGGTGGATACTGAGCACTTGATTTTGGAGTGAGCTTCCTTTCTCTTTCCAAACACAAACATGGTCATATTGATGCACTGATATCAAAGTTGCAGAATGTATAACACACACTCTTATTCATTATTAAAACACATGGGTA